TGAATATGATAAGTTAGAATATGTTCCTCATTTTTATGATATTTTACCACAATATCACGCTTATTGTTTGCTTAAATGACTACACATGTGAATACTTTATTTGAAGAATTTGTGAATTTCTAGACATTTTGTTCCACTATTGAAGTAAAGTTGCAAGTTGAAGGGCTTAATTTAGGCACTGAAAAGTCAAATGACATAACTTGTGAGTGGACTCAATTTTGGCATTGGGTGAAGGTTTTAAAAAGGTCAAGTCCTCTTTATGAAGTGAAGCACCAACAATTTTAGAAAAAGAGTCCAACTACAGAAAATTTTATCCTAAGCGGCTTCAGGAGAATGAGGGGCATAATGAGGGGCATATTGCTATATGTAATGAAACTTTTAGCTTGTTTTTTAGTTTGTTTATTCATATATTGATCATGCATAATGGTTATAGAACTTCATCTCCCTTTATTTTGGTTTATTGTATCTTAAGAGGATAAGTTCCATTTTTGTTTATTACTCTCATATCTTTAATTGTTAGTTGGTATTTATATCATATCAGGTGGCAATGATGTCAAAAAGAACATATGTGAGGCAAACAAGAAATGTCTGGGCCAGACAAATTTTGTCTGGTTGAACTCCAGAAAGTAGTTACTTGGCCTAGACTACGTACTAATGTCTGGCCCAGACAACTTTTGTCTGGTTGTAAGACGGAAAGTAATACATACACCCAGACTACAAATGTCTGGGATAGACAAATTTTGTCTGGCTCTACTCCGCAAAGTAGTTACTTGGCCCAGACTACTAATGTCTGACCCAGACAATTTTTGTCTGACTGTAAGATACAAAAGTAATACATACCTTGACTACAAATGTCGATGACAGACAAATTTTGTCTGGCTACACAAACGCTGCAGTTCTAAATTGAAGCATAGAGTGTTGGGGAAATAGAGATAACCAGATAGACATTTTTTTTACGCAGAGAGACAATAACTTTACATAAACTGTAGAAAAATGTAGCATATTCATGTTATTTTATTATGTGTACATCCGGAACTGTATAGATAGGAAGTAGAGTTGATTTAGGACTCTAACTCTTAGATTAACACGCAGTGTAGATAATAATAGATATATCCTAAATATTAGGATCTGTAACAAACCTTAGCTTATCTGTAATTTTGTATTTATATCATTGCCGGATGACTCAATAATAAATGGAAGATTAATTCTTCAAACCTACATGGTATCAGAGCTTCGGTTTAAACAATGGTAGAAACCAGTGAAGCTGATTCCTCACACACTACCAACCCTAACTCCCAAATTAGCTCTATGACAAATTACCAGTCTCCTATTCATTCATCTATGATAATCACTAGTCATAGATTGAATGGAACAAACTATCTGGAGTGGTCTCAATCTGTCAGACTTGCAATTGATGGGAGGGGAAAGCTGGGTTACATCACAGGAGAAATCCAACCAAAAATACCTGCAGAAGAAGGGTACAGTACATGGAGGTCAGAGAATTCACTCATAACAGCTTGGCTTCTCAACTCCATGGAGCCCCTAATTGCCAAACCTCATATGTTTATGAAAACTGCAAAGGAGGTATGGGATTCTATTAAGGAAACTTATTCAGACCTTGAGAACTCTTCTCAAAATTTTGAACTCAAAACCAAATTGTGGCAATCTAAACAAGGAAATAGGGATATTATTTCATACTACAATGAAATGGTATCTCTGTGGCAAGAATTAGATCAATGCTATGATGATGAAGAGTGGGAGAGTGCTAAGGATCTGGCCAGACATAAGAAAAAAGAAGAGAATGATAGGGTCTATATGTTTCTAGCAGGGATCAATAGGGACCTAGATGAAGTTAAGGGGAGGATACTTGGAAAAAAACCTCTACCTTCTATCAGGGAGGTATTTTCTGAAATCATGATGGAGGATAGCAGGAAGAAGGTCATGTACAACACCCCAACACCTAATGAGGAACCTGGGGAATCTTCAGCTTTGGTGGCCAGAAGTGATGACAACAAGAAAAAACCTTGGTGTGATCACTGCAAGAAACTGTGGCACACAAGGGATACATGCTGGAAACTCCATGGAAAACCACCAGGAGCTGGGAAGAAGAAAGTAGAAAGGGCCCTACAAACTACTGTGACTGAGACTCAACAAGAGGCAGGAGTTGAACCTAAACAGCTACCATTCACTCAGGAACAGATAGAGTACCTACTCAGATTCATACCTACCCAGAAAATCTCCAATCCTGAAAACCCTACCTGTTCTTTTGCCCAGAATGGTAAAATAACATCATATTTTTGTTCTGAAAAAACTAAAAACACCTGGGTCATTGACTCAGGTGCAACAGACCACATGACCTATATTCCAAAGTTTTTTTCTTCTTATCAACCTTGTGCAGGAGATAAAAAAGTTAGAGTTGCAGATGGCTCTTTCTCAGCCATAGCAGGGATGGGAAATATTAAAATTTCCTCATCCATTAACCTTTCCAAAGTCTTACATGTTCCTAAACTTTCCTGCAATCTTATCTCTATTAGCAAAATTACTAAAGATCTTCAGTGTTGTGTAAAATTTTTGCCCTCTTATTGCATTTTTCAGGATCTGGCATCAGGGAAGATGATTGGCAGTGCTAGAGAGGAAGATGGCCTCTATACTTTTGATGAAGGAACACAATTGAATAAACAAGGTCAAGAAAAAACTTGTTTGCAAACTGTTTTTCCTTGTAATAATGAAGTGTACCTAATGCACTATAGATTAGGTCACCCAAGTTTTTCCTACTTGAAAATGTTGTTTCCTAAGTTATTTCTTAATAAAAATCCTTCATCATTTCATTGTGATATGTGTGCACATGCCAAACATCATAGGAGTTCTTACATCCCTCATAGTTACAAACCAACTAGTCCTTTCACTATTGTACACAGTGATATCTGGGGTGCATCTAGAGTTTCAACTCTGAAAGGAAAAAGGTGGTTTGTAACTATCATAGATGATCACACAAGGGTCACATGGGTGTTTTTACTTAAAGAAAAATCTGAGATTGAAGAGGTGTTCAAACAATTTTACTCAATGATCCAAACTCAATTCAACACTAATATCAAAATTGTGAGAAGTGATAATGGACTTGAGTATTTTTCTAAGAAATTAAATACTTTTTTTGCTGAAAAAGGGATTGTTCATCAAAGTTCCTGTGTAAATACTCCTGCTCAGAATGGAATAGCTGAGAGGAAAAATAGACATTTACTTGAAGTTACTCGTGCAATAATGTTTTCTGCCAAAATTTCAAAATATTTATGGGGAGAAGCTGTTTTACATGCTACCTATCTAATTAATAGGATGCCATCAAAAACTCTAGGATTCAAAACTCCTATTGATACTCTTCAAACTTGTTTTCCTGAAACTAGACTAATTAACTCTCTTCCCATAAAATTTTTTGGGTGCACAGTCTTTATTACCAATCCTGATAGAACTGCAAGTAAATTTGACCCTAAGGGAAAAAAATGTGTTTTCTTAGGACTCTCTTCAACTCAGAAAGGCTATAAATGTTTTGACCCTATAACAAAAAAGATGTTTATAACTATGAACACTGTTTTTGTAGAAGATCAACCATTTTTTGGTACTCATCTTCAGGGGGAGATTCCTAATGAAGATGGTAATAATGTGTCACATATCCTTGAAAAACTAGAACCTCTTGACATTAATCTAGATTCACAGTATAATAGACAGTTAGATGCACTAGAAAATAGTCAAGAGTCAAAAGAAAATGAAAAACTTTTTTCTGAAACAAGGAAAGATGATGAACAGCAGATAAGTAAGTTTTTTGGCAAGGTTTATGAAAGGAAAGTTCCAAATCACATAATAGAGGACATCCCTGATCCTGCCACTGTCAATGAATCTGACTCAATGCCAGAAAATGACAAAGATAATAATTTCAGTGATCTAAATATACCCATTGCTCTCAGAAAAGAAGAAAGGTCATGTGTTAAATACCCTATCTCAAACTATCTGTCCTATTCTCAGTTATCTACATCATTTGCAGCTTTTACCTCTAGCCTTTCCAGTGTCTCTATTCCCTTAACCATACAGGAAGCCCTATCTATACCTGAGTGGAAGAAGGCTGTTTTAGAAGAAATGAATGCCCTTGAAAAGAATCAGACATGGCAGACTGTAGAGGTACCCAAAAATAAACCAAGGGTTGGATGCAAATGGGTGTTTACTCCTAAATTCAAGGCAGATGGTACACTTGAAAGATATAAGGCCAGACTGGTTGCCAAAGGATACACACAAACCTATGGCATAGATTATACAGAAACATTTGCACCAGTTGCAAAATTAAATACTATAAGGATTCTACTATCTCTAGCTTCTAACCTAGACTGGCCTCTTCAACAGTTAGATGTGAAGAATGCTTTCCTAAATGGGAAGCTTGAAGAGGAAGTATACATGAGCCCTCCTCCTGGGTTTGAGGAACAATATGGCTCAAAGGTGTGCAAGCTAGAGAAAGCCTTATATGGCCTTAAACAGTCCCCAAGGGCTTGGTTTGAAAGGTTTACTCAGTTCATAAAGAAGCAGGGATTCAAACAAGCCCAAGCAGATCATACACTATTCATGAAATTCTCCATTAAGGGAGAAATTGCAGTACTAATTGTTTATGTGGATGATATAATTCTTACAGGAAACTATTGTGAAGAGATTGAAGACCTGAAGAAGAAGCTTACTCAGGAATTAGAAATCAAAGACCTGGGAGAATTGAAGTATTTTCTTGGCATGGAGATAGCCAGATCAAAGAAGGGAATTGTGGTATCCCAAAGGAAGTATGTACTAGACCTACTTCATGAAACAGGTATGAGTGCATGCAGACCAATAGATACTCCAATTGACCCTAATCAGAAGTTAGGAAATGTCAAGGAAGGAGTACCAGTTAATATTCACCAATATCAAAGATTGGTGGGAAGGTTGATTTATTTGGCACATACAAGGCCAGATATTGCCTTTGCAGTCAGTATGGTTAGTCAGTTCATGCATAATCCATTCCAAGAACATCTAGATGCTACCTACAGGATCCTAAGATATTTGAAAAGTTGTCCAGGGAAAGGATTATTTTTTAAAAGAAGTGACAATAGAAGTGTAGAAGCCTTTACAGATGCAGATTATGCTGGGTCAATAACTGATAGAAGGTCTACATCTGGATATTGTACTTATGTATGGGGGAATCTGGTGACTTGGAGGAGTAAGAAGCAGAATGTTGTTGCCAGAAGTAGTGCAGAATCTGAATTTAGATCTATGGCTAATGGAATATGTGAGCTACTTTGGATCAAGAGAATGATGACAGAGTTGAATATGGAAATGAACCTACCTATGAAATTATATTGTGACAATAAAGCAGCCATTAATATTGCTCACAATCCTGTGCTACATGATCGTACTAAACACATTGAGGTGGACAGGCATTTTATCAAAGAGAAGATTGAAGCTGGAATTGTATGCACACCATTCATATCTACTAAAGAGCAGACAACTGATATCTTTACAAAGGGGCTGTTTAAACCAGTGTTTGAGTTTCTTATAAGCAAGTTGGGAATGTATGATATATATACTTACCAACTTGAGGGGGAGTGTAGAAAAATGTAGCATATTCATGTTATTTTATTATGTGTACATCCGGAACTGTATAGATAGGAAGTAGAGTTGATTTAGGACTCTAACTCTTAGATTAACACGCAGTGTAGATAAGAATAGATAGATCCTAAATATTAGGATCTGTAACAAACCTTAGCTTATCTGTAATTTTGTATTTATATCATTGCCGGATGGCTCAATAATAAATGGAAGATTAATTCTTCAAACCTACATAAACAGTCAATATGGTGGATACCCAGATAGACAAAAGATCAACATACACGAGTGGATAATTGTACATGTAATGTTTGCAAAAACTTACACATGTTCAAAAAACCAATCCAATTGTTCAACATTGTACAATATTCAACATATTTCCCCATCTGTAATGTGTAATATTTGTAAAAAAAATACATATTTAAAAAATCACAAGTTCAAAATCGACACATTTCCCTAATACTCCATGCTTCAGCCTTCTTCAAGCGTCATGTTGGCGTAGTCAGTCAGGAATCAATAACTTCCTCAGTAACAGCTGCTCCGCAAATGATATGGCCGTACCATGACTCCACATTATTCGGATATGTAGACAGACAAATAAAGCACGAACAGACATTTAGAACACTTAACACAGACAATACATGCAATGCAAAAAATATTGAGTTTAATACCATGCTTGCTATTGAGGCACACATAGAGTCATAAACTTTAACCAATCTACTTCCAAAGACAACTTTGAAGACAACTAATTACATATCAAAAAATACACACCACAACTTACATACAACTCACAATCAAATGACAAACAACTAAATATGAATTACATACATCTATTTTTAAACTGACAGACAACTTCACAACTCTTACAGACTCCTCACAACAACGTGATAGACAAGTCATGACAAACAACTCAAAACAAATACAGACAACTAACATACAAATGACAGACAATTTAAAATATTAAATTGGAAAAAATTACTATATCATATTAAATTGGAAATCCATAAAAATACTCATTAAACACCGATGTACAAAAAAATAAAAAAAAGTCTTGAATTTCAACAAAAAATTCACTAAGTAATTTCTACAAACATGTTATGGACATAAAATGATCTAAAGAAATTACACTAAAATTTTAATAAATTAACACCTCAAAATAATTATAATGAAACAAACTAATCAATTATTCACTTTTATATCATACATAATATACATAAAATCGAAAAAAGAAAAAAAATTAAATAAGAAACGTTCATGAAGAAAAATCGTAAATAGAGTAAGTACCTCATGATTTGAGAAGGGATGGTTACCTTAGAGACAACTAAATGGGGAGATCTTGAAACCTTAAAAATGGAGATGAGAGCTCTTAAAATAAAAAGAGGAGAAGATAATGGGGAATGGGTGTGAGTAGGGATGGACTCGGGTCCGGGCCGGGTCCGGGCCGGGCCTAGGCCCGGGCGGGCCGGCGGGTCAGAAATGGTGGACCCGGGACCGGCCCGGGTAACCATTGGGTCCGGTCCGGGTCCGGGCCGGGCCCATTATATTTTTTTTTGTTTTCCTCTTCCTAATTAACCCCCTCCCACCCCCAACCATCCCAAATGGCCCAAAATACCCAGCCCAACCCGAAAACTTAAAAAAATTGAAAAAAAAGCAAAAAAAAAAAGTTTTTGACCCGAACCGGGCCCGAGCCCGGCCGGGTCGGGCCTTGTTTTGGGTGACCCGAGCCCGGACTGGAAAACCCACGGGCCGGGCCTACCCGGACCGGTCACTGACCGGGCCACCGGGTCGGGCCGGGCCGGAACAGTACCGGTCCCGGGCCGGTTCCGGGTCGGGCCACCCGGCCCGAGTCCATCCCTAGGTGTGAGAGCAAGATTGTTAAAATCGTATTTTTGAATAGAATCAGTTTTTGAAAAGGGTCAGATTTCTTCAAGAAAACTTCAATCGGGAACACATTTAAATGAATTCTTGAAGATAACTGCGCACTTAAAAGCGCAGTTATCTTCAAGAATTCATTTGAATGCCTTCCCGGTTGAATTGTTACCTGAAATTTATTATGAGTAAACTAGACTAAATGAATAAGATGCTCAAATAATAAAAATTCCACCGGGAACTGCCCCAATGACGACGGCCGTACAGAACTTCCTATATAAGGGCTTATCCGACCTTTTTACGTAAGTTCGAGGGCCTATTTGACGTTTTTCTCTTTATAATATCTAAGAATATAATTGAAAAGTCAATTTAAACATTATTCACTCTACTTAAAAACTCGTGAAATTCAATTCAAAAATATATTTTGGAGGAATGATTTTGTTTAATTATAAATGACCATTTCCATTTTATATCCAAGATGATATTTGAATGTCTACATATTTTTGGCTACATATATGATCATTTCCTTTTTGTAAGTTTGTAACCAAAGATCTGAAAGGAGTGGGAACAAAAAAAGGTCGCAAACAGATCTGAGGTACTCACTTCATCACAGCTGCCTGCAGGGAGTATCGAGCTTCTCTGCCATTCTCTTCAAAAAAAAAAATCACTTCGTGTAAAAACCCATCTCTAGCAAGACTCCACAACACCTCATCCACTGCCGGCCGGGCAATAAACTTCACCCGAACATTTTCTCTTCTAACACCTAACACCACCCGACGTATCTCCGAAGTCTTGCGTGCCCGTGCTTCCTAGGTGCGTACTTATTTCCGTCAAATGAAATGTGGCAGCTATTTGCGTTGTTTTCCAGTATGGCGCCATTGTAAAACTTTGTAACTGTTATTGTTATGCTTTTGGGGGTGCATCGAGACGGGGAAGAATGCCCACTCTTGATTCTGATATTTTGTGAAATTTTTTGATTGCGAAATGCTCGACTTAAAGCTTCTTTGGGGCTATTTCTGTAGTTTTACTGTTGTTTGCCTGGTGTGTGTGTGAGAGTGCGCGCGCACACTACTTCTTTTCTTGGCTTGGGTGTGATAAACTGATAATTTAGTGCCACCATACATTTCACCAAACATAAACTTATCTGGATGCACGTCTGAATTGGTTGGTAGTGAAAAAAGTAAGTTTTTCCGCACACTTACACTCTCATTTTAGATTTTAATGTTTTAATATTTTGTTTCTATAACACAGAAAGTCTATCAAATCAACCCACCCAGACCTTGGGCAGTGCATGTTGGTGTCCTCACAAGCCAAGGGTCCAGTTTTCACCTGTTAATTTTTTACCAGTGTTCTATCAAGCTCGCTCCCAAGACTTGAACTCGTGACCTCTCAATCACACAACTTTTAAATGTAAAAATGTCAAAAGAATAATACTAGTATATAAATAACAACAACAACAACGTCCAAGCCTTAATCCCAAAAGAATTTGGGGTCATCTAACATGAATCGATCAATGATATTGATGCCAAACAGAGAAGATGGACAAGAAAGGGAAGAAAAAAAGTAAGATAAAACGAATAAAATAAAGATAAATAAAAGATAACAATAACATAAGAAAATAAGAAATATAGAAGATAAAAAAGAGCATAAAAAAGCTAGAATATAAAAATAACATAAGAATATACAAAGGTAAGGAAGATAAACGATAAAAGAAAAAAGAGGGGAAAGGTAAAAAAGACATTGGTCTTCCACACGGATGTGCGCCCTCCACTTTGCTCTCTCCAAAGTCATACTCTCATCCAACCCAAGGAGATGCATATCAGTTCTGATTCCTCTAATCCAAGTCTGTTTGGGTCTTCCCCTCCCTCTCTTCTCTGCCTCTTCTCCCCACCCCTCAAGTCGTCTAACAGGTGCATCACTCGGTCTTCTACGCACATGTCCAAACCAGCGTAAACGAGACTCCTGCATCTTATCTTCTATAGGTGCTACTCCCACATTTTGTCTGATTATCTCATTCCTCAAACGGTTTTTTCTGGTATGTCCACACATCCAACGCAACATACGCATCTATGCCACACTCATCTTTTGAATGTGGCATTGCTTCACCGCCCAACACTCCACGCCATACATCAATGCAGGCCTAATTGCAGTTCGATAAAACTTACCCTTCAGTCTAGTTGGCATACCTCGATCGCATAGAAATCCTGAAGCACTCTTCCATTTCATCCACCCAGCTTTGATTCTATGGCATACATCTCCATCTAATTCACCATCCTTCTGAATTATGGAACCCAAGTAACGAAACACATCACACACCGGTATCTCCTTACCATCAAGAGTAATCCCATTGTTGCTACTACTTCTACCTCCACCAAACTTGCACTCCATATACTCAGTCTTGCTTTGGCTCAGTCTGAAATCCTTGTTCTCCAATGTTTGTCGCCATACTTCCAACTTTGCTTTAACACCGGATTGTGTCTCATCAATCAATACAATATCGTCGGCAAACATCATGCACCACGGTATGTCTTCTTGAATTGATTTCGTAAGTTCATCCATGACTATAGCAAATAAGAAAGGACTCAGAGCAGATCCTTGGTGCACTCCGATAGTAATAGGGAACTCTGCGGTCCTCCCTACATTAGTGCGGACACTTGTAGTACAAGCATCATACATATCCATGATGATAGTGATATACTTACGTGATATGCCTTTTCTAGTTAAGGCCCACCACGTGACTTCTCGAGGTACCCTATCATATGCCTTTTCTAAGTCAATGAACACCAAATATAGATCCTTTTTAATGTCTCTATACTTCTCCATAACTTGTCTAAGAAGATGAATGACCTCAGTTGTTGAGCGTCCAGGCATAAAACCAAATTGATTTTCCAATTTTTTCACTCTTACGAAGTCTTTGCTCAACCACTCGTTCCCAAAGTTTCATGGTGTGACTCATAAGCTTAATCCCTCGATAGTTAACACATTCTTGTACATCACCCTTATTTTTAAATAAGGGAATGAGAGTACTCTTCCGCCAACTCGCTGGCATTTTGTTGTTTCTCCAAATCATGTTGAAGAAACGTGTTAGCCACTCAATGTCTTTCTCTCCCAAACTTCTCCAAGCCTCGATCGGTATGTCATCTGGGCCCACTGCTTTCTTCCTCCCCATTTTTCTCATAGTCTCTTTAACTTCTGTTGTTTGAATCCTTCTCACGAAGTCTCGATTTACCATACACTCTGGTATAGTAAGATCATCAATACCTTGCACTTCTTTCCCGTTGAATAAGGTATCAAAGTATGACCTCCACCTCTCTTTAATTTCTTTGTCCTCCATTAGTACCCTTTGATCGACATCCTTGACACACTTAACTTTTCCGACATCCTGAATCCTACGATCACGAAGACGAGCAAGTCTGTATATATCTTTTTCTCCTTCTTTAGAGTCCAACTTTACATATAATTCCTTGTTCACTTTTCCTTTGGCTTCCTTCACAACTTTCTTTGCTCTTCTTCGAGCCTCCTTGTACTCCTCTATGTTCTCGTCGCTCCAACTTTTGCCCAATTCTTATAGCATTCCCTTTTGGTCCTTATTGCTTGTTTCACCTCATCATTCCATCAAGACGTGTCCTTTTTTGGTGACAGACATCCTTTAGATTCTCCGAGTATCTCCTTCGCCACTCTGTTAATGATGGACTCCATTGATAACCACACATCATCCAAATGTGTTTCATTATCAATAGACCATACATCTTCCTCCAACATTTTGTGTGCAAAACTTTGTTGGAGATTCCCCTCGAGCCTTCACCATTTTATCTTTAGCTCCCCTTGTACCTTAACTTGTCTCCTCTTTTTACCTTGAAAATGCAGCACAAGCATCCTATGCTGGGTGATAGCACTCTCACCTGGGATAACCTTACAATCAGTGTAGCTAGTTCTCCAAGTCGCACGTACTGAAAAGTAGTCAATTTAGGTACTATTAGCTCCACTTCTATAGGTGACAAGGTGTGAGTCTCTTTTCTTGAACCAAGTGTTCATCACAGCCAATTCATATGTCGAGGCAAAATCCAAAATGTTCTTCCCCGCTTCATTTGTAGTGCCAAAGCCATGTCCGCCATGGATACTCTCAAAACCATAACGACTTGGGCCCACATGCCCGTTGAGGTCGCCTCCTATGACCAGCTTCTCTCCCTTTGGCACTCGTCGCACACTCGCACCACTTCCTCAAGATCCTCCCAAAATTGTTGAGTGATAGATGCATCCAATCCCACTTGTGGTGCATAGGCACTTACCACGGACACGATCTTATCTCCTATGATCAACTTAATGATCATGATGCGATCGTTCTTCCTAAAGACTTCAACCACACCATCAACATAATCATTTGCCATCATAATGCCTACTCCATTTTTGTTCCTCTCTCCTCGAGTACCACAACTTAAAACCTCCAGGATTATTCTCACGTGTCTTTTCTCCAACCCACTTAGTTTCTTGCATGCACATTATGCTCATATTCCTCCTCTTCATAACCTCAGCTATCTCAGATGATCTTCCCGTAAGAGAGCCAACATTCCATGTCCCAAAACGCAATTTAACACCATGCCTTCTCTTCTTCCCACCACATGGACCCCCACCATGCCCTTGCATATTTGACACCATCCCCGGGCATTGGAGTGGCGTGTCGCTTCCGGGCGACGACCTAGCAGCCTTAGCATTCTTATCACCACACCCAAGCCTAGGAAGTGTAGCGCGCCCTTGCTCATTTGACACCACCCCCAGGCGGAGGGATGACACGTCGCTTACGGGCGACGACCTAGCTGTAGCGATATTCATATTTCGATTCATGTCATGTGATGTGACTAAGTGATACTGTTGGCCGTCACACGCCTACCACAGCACCCTCCTCCTTTATCCTGGCTTGGGACATGCATGATACCAAATAAATGATCTCATGGTGGAGTTAAAAGAATAATATATAAGAAACTAAGAAAATGAAGTGAGCAACAAGACGGAACAAAATGGCAGCCCAAATGTTTGTGTACCTGAAACTTAAGCATGTTTGACTTTTTAGCCTTCAAATTTGAATATTCAATTTCTTTTGAACTATGCTAGGGGGTGCATTCTGGCATTTGTTAGAGTTTTGAATTTATTTTTCATTCATCTGTTGCATGTGTTGTTGCTATGTATAGCATTAAAAAAGTGAAAGGATTCTCATGACTGTAGTTGACACAGTTGTTTGTGGCTCGAAAGAGCCACATTCAGATGGACGGGTGGTGTGATATTTCTCAAGTTTCAAACATTGTGACAGATAGTCCACTGCAACGCAGAGAACCCTTTCCCCAACAAAATCCACATTTTATATTTTGTCTTTGTTCTCTAACTTTTTTTTGATGGTTTCCTCTATACCAGGTCATGGATACCGGAGGGAATTCTTTACCATCTGGTCCAGATGGAAAGAAGCGAAAAGTTAGTTATTTCTATGACCCAGAAGTTGGGAACTATTATTATGGGCAAGGCCACCCAATGAAGCCGCACAGAATTCGGATGACACATGCTCTTCTTGCACACTATGGACTTCTACAGCACATGCATGTCCTCAAGCCCAATCCTGCAAGAGATAAGGATCTTTGCAGGTTTCATGCTGATGATTATGTTACTTTCTTGAGAAGCATAACTCCAGAAACGCAGCAAGATAATCTGAGGCTATTGAAGCGGTTTAATGTTGGCGAAGACTGCCCTGTTTTTGATGGTCTGTACTCCTTTTGTCAAACTTATGCAGGAGGTTCTGTTGGTGGAGCAGTGAAATTAAACCATGGGCATTGTGACATTGCTATAAACTGGGCTGGTGGGTTGCATCATGCCAAGAAGTGCGAAGCTTCTGGTTTTTGCTATGTCAATGACATAGTGCTTGGCATATTAGAGCTCCTCAAAGTGCACGAGGTTGGTCTGTACTGTTTTTGTTACTCACCAAACACTGATCATTGCTAAATGTGATTTCATTGCTTTGGGGTGTAACCGTGTAACTACTAACTATGACCACTGTTGTGTTTGTCTTTTAATCTTAAGTGCATGATGTAATGGCCAAGTGCCTTCTTGTTTAACTCACGGGCTCAAATCTTAAGAAAAACAACTCTGATAAACAGTAATAAAATTTTGTGCATCTTGTTCAATGTTAACCTACATAATGTTTCTATCTTGTGTTTGAGCTCATTGTTCTCGTATAAAGCTTACCATCTCAACTATTGCTCTTTTCCTGTATGCTTCTGCTTGTCTATAAGCTCTTCATTTAAGATACTTCACTTAGTCAATAGGCACAGGTGCATAACAATCTTATCTTGACAATCCATGAAAGTTGCAGAACCAGTAATTCAGTTCATCCAGTATTGTTCCATCTTTAGTATCTAGATCTACTTTTATACAAACAAAATTGATTTTAAGAAAAGTTATGATAACATAGATTGCATTTTAGACCCTGCAATAAAAAATACTTCCATTTTCTTGTTCACATTAACTATTGTAATTACAGAATATTAAATGTGTGTTTCGTTGTAAAGACCAATGGAGCCAAAGACTCACTATTTTGTGGTTTGGGAATATGATGGAATAAAATACAATAACTCACTAAACTGTCTGCGCTTCTTTGTTATGAAGCAACAGTTAAGGCTGTGTATATCCAACCGCCCTTAGCCCACCATAGGTGGGAGCCTTTGCGGCACTGGGGTAATGTTGTTGTTGTACACAATATTAGACGTAATAGTAAAACATTTTTGTGAATGTGGTGTTGAATTTGTTGCGTTTCTCTAATTGCATATTGCAGATCTTTTAATGTTATAAGTTATTTTGTGGCATATACTAACTTATCGTCCACATTTTTGGAATTCACATTGCATTAATTTAATTGTATGGCAGCGAGTTCTATATGTAGACATTGACATACATCATGGTGATGGTGTTGAAGAGGCCTTCTATACTACAGATAGGGTTATGACTGTTTCATTTCATAAGTTTGGAGATTATTTCCCTGGTACTGGGGATATACGTGATATTGGATATGAGAAAGGAAAATATTACTCTCTGAATGTTCCCCTAGATGATGGAATTGACGATGAAAGCTATCAGATGTTGTTTAAGCCAATAATGTGTAAAGTGATGGAAGTTTTTAAGCCTGGCGCAGTCGTGTTGCAATGTGGCGCTGATTCTTTGTCTGGAGATAGATTGGGCTGCTTTAATCTATCAATTAAAGGTCATGCAGAATGTGTGAAATACATGAGGTCTTTCAATGTGCCACTGCTGTTACTAGGTGGAGGGGGCTACACAATTCGTAATGTGGCTCGTTGCTGGTGTTATGAAGTAGGCCTCTCATTGCTCTTTCTGTGTGTGTCATTTTTTATGTGTGATAAAACAAAAGAAATGATAAATAAATTCCAACAATATTAAGTATACAAAGATGGACTTACTCTGATTTTAAGTCCTTGTCTGTTTACATGCCTGAAGTGTGATTCAAAAGAAAAGTGTATATCTTGGCTTATAAATGGGAAATTATTATTATGGCTCTTAAATGTTAATGAGTCAAGATCAACAATTGTAATTATCTGGTCTTAAAGTGATGATGATCTTTTTGTATACCATTGTTCTACACAATGAAGGAGAGCCTCGGCTCATTGATTACGGTGTTGCTGTGTGACCGAGAGGTCACAAGTTCAAGTCTTGAGAGTGGCTTGTTGTCAAAATGACAAGGGAAGGCTTGACCCTTATAGAACGTTGTGGTGGGACCCTTCCTCGGACCCTCGCCTTGTGGGCTGCCTTTTCTTATTGTCCTACACAACTTGTCATGCATACCGTAGAGTTATTGTGAGTTGTGTTTTCAAAAGATTGGATCTAAGGACGAAAGAACACAGATTAACCAAACTTGATCCTTTTTCTGATCTTCAACATACACTTTTATTTATTTATTTATCATTTACGTGTGTACTTCCTTCAAGATATGATGGTGACATGCTTCTTGACATGTTTTAACTATTAAACTGTGATTTTGTTTATGCAGACAGGAGTTGCACTTGGCATGGAGCTTGACGACAAGATGCCACAGCATGAATACTACGAGTACTTCGGTCCAGATTATACTCTTCATGTTGCCCCTAGTAACATGGAGAACAAGAATTCCCGTCAGATGGTGGAAGAAATAAGAGCAAAGCTTCTTGATTATCTGTCAAAACTTCAGCATGCACCTAGTGTGCAGTTTCAGGAGAGACCACCAGATACTGAACTCCTAGAGGTAAACTCTGGAACTTAAAACATTTTTGCTCATCAAAATTGATATATCAACTTTGATCCTGAAATGTGTATGCACTTAAATATTTGTATCTGAAATAAACTTTTATGGTTGTGCTTTGTTGTTATTTCATCATCAAACCACACACACACCCACATGTTCCAACATCAGTGCTATTTTATTTATTTATTCATGTATAAAAATATGAATGCTATTCGAATATGTGTTACAGACGCTTTTTATGTGATTCCATACCGTATAAGGAAGCATATGGGCCAGAGAGACATTTAATTAAATGAGTAGTATAGCTTGATGTTATATTTTATTATTTATTGTTCTAAGATTTATCGTTTCCTAAGATATTTAGAATTTTCAGTTACAGTTTTAATTAGATGCTTATGGGTCTAAACATTACACAAAAAAGAAATGACTGAAAAAATGTTTTCAGCAACACCAAATATCTCGTCTTGAGATCTCCTATCATTTTTTTGGTACATCTGTTTAAGGGATGGGGCAGGTATGGTTAAAACCCCGGTTTCCACTTGAAAATAAGAGTAGAATATCGTTAAGCCTGTAGTCTATCATTTAATTGCCGACCCCAAAATCTTTTGGGACTAAGGCTTGGATGTTGTTGTAGTCTATCGCTTAGTTGTGTGTTAGGTTTTACAGGATGCTGAATTAATTTGTACTGCATCTTTTTCATGGGTCTATACTTTCTATGCGGCTCAATTTTTATTTATGGTTTATCACCCCTCCTAAAAAAAGAAAGAATAAGGCTTCACTCAAAAATGTTATAGACTTGGGGTTTCCTTTTTCCTAGTACAAGAGGATAGCACACATCACTATTATATTTAACATCTTCATAACGGTATTTTAAATTGCATTTTCTGTTAGCCTCATTAAAATTAATCCATCTCTGGTTTTTTAGCCTTTTGCTTGAAACAGTGCCCGTCTATTTGGAGACAATATAAGCTGAAGTTGGAACACATTTTTTGTTTTACTTTATATGGTGCTATTTTGGGCATGATTTTGAGATTAATATGCTTGACATTTTTAGTGCCCTATATGGTTCACATGAAAACTCCACCATGAGATCATGTTTTTTGGTATCATGCCTGTCCCAAGCCAGTATAAAGGAGGAGGGTGCTATGGTAGGCGCGTGACGGCCAACATTATCACTTAGTCACATCACATGACATGAATCGAAATATGAATATCGCTTGGCATCGATATCATAGATCGATTCATGTTAGCTGACCCCAAATTCTTTTGGGATCAAGGCTTGGATGTTGTTGTTGTTGTTGTTGTATATGGTTCACATGAAGCTTCAGTGTTAGAGTTCTGATTGCAATATTACTTACCGTCATTCATTGATGTTCAGACTAATGAAGATCAAGATGGTGAAGATGGGAGGTGGGGCCGTGATTTTGATGTAAATGATGATGAGCGGTATATTCCTCACTGCATTCCCACCAGCACCCACCCTTTTTTACACTTGGTAATCACTTTCTTATAACTAGTGATTTTTTCCTACAGTAAACTTCTATCTGGACGAGTGAAGAGGGAGATCGTTGAACCTGAAGTCCAGGACACAGTATGTATCATTATTTCAATTTGAAAGTGAAGATGCCTGGATAGTATGTTTTGTATTTATCAAGAACCACATAATTTAAATACAGTATTTGCGCTTTGCGGTGAGCTGCTAGTACTGTATTAATCAAGGTTCTCAGGTTTTTCGTCTTCAACCTTTATCAGCATCGGAATGATCAGTGCAGTATTAAAATTGAACAACAATCTCAGGGTTTAATAAAAGCAATCCTGAGATGGAGTTTATAAAGTCAAGTACACAAAATAAGGCCCTGTTTGGGGGTGGTTGGCCGTTATAGATTTTACCAAACTTTTCAAAAAATAGATTTGGTGCCCCATAGATGTGGAATTGCATATGATGAGGATGGATTACTGTATGTATTCCTTTGAATCTTCAGGACGACATGAAAATCGATGAACGCCCAAGAGAATCAGAATCAACATTAGATCCAACAAACTTGAAGGTATTATATTGATATGTCCCATGTGTAGAGAGCTATTATTACTTTCACAGGAATATTGCTATGACACCTGAGTTTTTATCATTCTAATTGTTTACCCTCCCGCCAATATATATTTCATTTACCTTCATATAACGATCAAATATAATGAAAATTGTCTAAAATACCTGTTCTTAAAAATATAAACTATTCATCATCATGAAATGTTGCTAAAATATCCATTCTTAAAAGAGTATAAGCCTTAGTTGCTGATCGTTATTCCTTTTTGGTGAAATTCATAAAAATAATCCCTACTTTTAGGGATTCTACCATAATAATCCATTAATCCCTAGTGAGAGTGTTCACAAAAATAGTCCGAACTAGCAATGGTGTTCATAAGAATAAATTGGAGTGAATTCAAATTAATGCCCATTTAATACTCTCAATCTTTACTCCCACTTTTCTCTTCCCCGCTCTTCTTCTTGGGGCAAATTCAAACCAAAACTCGTTTAATATCAACATCATTTCCTTCATATGTGGTTTTCTCTAGGTTGGAACATAAAAGTATTAACCTAGACGTAGAATGGTGAATGGGGAAGTGGAGTTTGGGGTTGGGAGTATTAAATGGGCATTAGTTTGAATTCACTCCAATCTATTTTTGTGGACATTGTTGCTGGTACGGATCATTTTTATGGTCACTCTCACTAGGGATTATTATTGTAGAATCGATAAAAGTGGATTATTCTTGTGAATTTCGCCTTCCTTTTTTATTGTTACACACGGATGAAATGTCATTAATAATGGTTGAGCCGGAGGAGTTTAGAACAATTGTCAAGACTTATATTGATGAAGGAAAAGTGTTTTTACTGTTACAAGTTCATATTGTGGACAACCTTCGTTAGATATGAAGTTCATATAGTCCAACCCACAATTAACCTATTTGATAATGAAAGTTGTCTAAAATATTCATTCTTCAAAGTCTATACACTTGTCCTTCATCAATGTCAGTTGTGACTAACTCTAAAATCCTCTTCTTCAACTACTCTCATTGACATTTATTCCAAAAGTAGCAAACTAGAAGAAGTAATGAATAACAACCAAGGCTTATAATCATGATGAAGAAGAACTGTTTTGACTTTTAAAGGGGATATTTTGGATGGACCAGCTAGATTTGATAGTTATATGTAGTTAAATACGGAGTATTTAAATGTGATAAATATTGAACGCAGGGTTAAACAGTGACAATAATCACAGCTCTAGAGATAACTATAGACTTTAAAAGACACAAAGGTGAACTGGTAATATGACCTAACTTAAAAGGTATAACAGCAAGTTTTCCTTGCTTTTGCAAACCCACAAAATAATTCTTGTTGTATTATGTTTGTCAGGGATCAAGCTCAGGGTCAACAGCAGCAGAAGAAAACCATTTGCTGGGGAACTCAAGCAAGCCATTCAGTCAACCGATGGATACAAATTTATGAACCATATCAGCGGGCTCCATCTATTCATCCAAACTGCATACTTGATATATTGAATGAATATAAGCTGTTTTTTGTCACCCCTGTAAGCACGTTGTCTCGCTCTCAATGTTATTATACCGTCAGGGAGAATTTCATAGATCATTCTTACGGCCGACTTCATTTTAGACTGGATTTAGATTTATAACACGCTACTTCCCCTGGTGTATATTGAAATGTACCACTACTTGAAGGTCAAGAAACTTGAAAGAAACAAGAAACATCCTCTTTCAAAAAGAAAACAAATGTTTGAAATGGTTCTGAAGGGCTTCACTAATGTTTAAGGCGTCACCCATATTTGCAGGTCTCTATTAATTTTAAAAAATCATCTCTTCAAATTTCAATGCATTATTGTTATTACTAATTGCCAACATTACTATTATTTCCCTTTTGGGTGAATTGGGTCTTACGACCCTGTGTTAGAATGAGAGAAAACCCACGGAAATCAGGAAATGTAAACTACATCCTTTTATTCTATATTTCAACCGTTTCCTTGTATTTTGAGAAGATGTAAGGGTGGGTAGTCATGTACTTTTCCCATAAAATTTACGTGCGAAACCCTCGAATTATCATATTCCATTTGGAAGGAGTAATGTGGCAAATCATACGGTGGGGCGTGGACCGGTATACCATGCCACATGCGGTCCACATGATCCATGTGCATGGTATGAGGTTAGGGTTGGCCCGGCCCGAGTCCACCCCTATATGAGGTTCCAAATTCCAATATTGTATCTTTCTTTAATTAAAAAAAACACAGTAAATAGATTTTCTTGTTCGGCCATTTATTTTTCTTTGTCGATCTCTCTGGTCATCTCTTTCCCCGATTCTTTTTCCTTCTTCAATTTAGGGATGGACTCGGGCCGGGTGGCCCGACCCGGGACCGGCACTGTTCCGGCCCGGCCCGACCCGGTGGCCCGATCAGTGACCGGTCCGGGTAGGCCCGGCCCGTGGGTTTTCCGGTCCGGGCTCGGGTCACCCAAACCAAGGCCCGACCCGGCCGGGCCCGGTTCGGGCCAAAAAATATATATTTTTTTTCAATTTTTTTTAACTTTTCGGGTTGGGCTGGGTATTTTGGACCATTTGGGGTGGTTTGGGGTGTTGGGGGTGGGAGGGGGGTTAATTAGGAAGAGGAAAACAAAAAAAAAAATATAATGGGCCTGGCCCGGACCCGGTGGTTACCCGGGCCGGTCCCGGGGCCACCATTTCTGACCCGCCGGCCCGCCCGGGCCTAGGCCCGACCCGGACCCGGCCCGGACCCGAGTCCAACCCTACTTCAATTATCTTCTTTCCCTTCATTAAAATATTAAGAATTTAATCACAAATTTAATAAGAATTTAATCTGCTACACTTTCGTTTAAGTATTAATAAATTAACAATTTTTTCATTTTTATTCATCTTTGAAATAAACTTAGGTTTTTTTCTCCACCTATTAAATTAAAACAGTAGTTTTATTAATCTAAAATAAAATTCATACTTGTATTTGAAAACTTGCAACATTTTTGAGCTATATATATAAGGGATGGTTCAAATAAAAAGTGGTTTTTAACGTGCAAAGTGCAAAGTTTGCACTTTTTCTTGCTTTCGTTGCACTTTTTCGTGGTAGGTCAAAAAATTGGTTTATTTACAAAACTGCCACCGTCGTTTTGGTCGAATTTGGCCAAAATCAAAATGGCCAAAAAGTGCAACACAAACAAGAAAAAGTGCAAGAGAAACATGAAAAAGTGAAAACTTTGTACTTTGCACGAGAAGACCACTTTTCATTTGAATATATATATATATATATATATATATATATATATATATATATATATATATATATATATATATATATATATATATATATATATATATATATATATAGAGAGAGAGAGAGAGAGAGAGAGAGAGAGAGAGAGAGAGAGAGAGAGAGAGAGTGAGAGAGTCATTCTCCTGTCCAGCACTTTTCTGTCCGAACGCCGTGCAGGGACGGATCCAGGATTTTGATTCAAGGGGGGCAAAAATTTTCGTTAGTGTAGGAGATAAAAAAATTCACTAGTGTAGCGGGGCGAATTTTTTTGCTAGTGTAGCGGGGGGGGGGGGGGGGGGGGGGGGGGGGGATTTTCACCAGTGTAAGGCTCTGCGGCTATTTTAATTCAAAAAAAAAATTAATACATGCATAACGACATTTAAATCTATATATATAAAAAAATGATATAAAAAAAAGGTATATAACATTTTGTTTAAATATAGAGTTTATAAGGTACATATTCACCAATACTTTTAAAATAACTTCAACATTGTTTAACTACATGAGTCTTATAGAAATAAAGAATTGATTTTTAAATTACAATTTTTGTCTACCATGGAGGGTGTATGATATTATTATTTTTAGAATAATATTATATTTCTAATTCATATATATATATTGCATATTATATTTGTATTAGTGCTAAAATAATTAAAGTTTATTATCTATGGAATAAAGTCTTTTTAGAATGTAAGAAGTAAATGAATTATGTAATTTAATGTAAATAAACATTTATAATTTGGATTCACTTCACATGATCTAAATACTTTGTACCTAGAGTGTCTGGTATTTAATATCGTTTGATATATATTTTTCAAAATTGTTTACTAGTTATCTAATAAAGATAATTAACAAAACTAATACTACGTAATTTTTATATAATAAGTATCCTAAATCTTAAATAATGAGCTGTTCTATTATTTATGTAAATGATTTTAGATGTTCGCATGTTCCTTCTTTTAAATCTTCAATTAAGTATTACATTATGTAAGACTATATATTAATTTTAAAAACTAAAAGTTAAAGGGGGCAATGTTCAAAAGAAGTTAAAGGCGGCGAATCTAATTAAAGTATCAAAATTTTACAAAACCATTACATATATAGTAGAAAATTTTGAAAGTACAAGGAGGGCGGTCCCCCCCCCCTTAAATCCATCCCTGACGCCGTCCGAACACCGCCGTTTGGGGCGGTTCACGGCGTAAATTTTTGATGAAAGTTTTTGGGCATATTCCTCATCAAATCTAGTTTATACATACCAAATTTCAGCTCAAAATTCGATCAGGAAGGCAGTCAAATAATTCGTTGAAGTTAACTGCGCCAAATTATACATAGGAAAAACGCAGTTAAATTCAACGAATTAATTGACTTCCTTCCCGATCGAATTTTGAGCTAAAATTTAATATGGATAAACGAGACTTAGTGAGGAACATGCTCAAAAAAGTTCATCAAAAAGTTCCACCGGGAACCGCCCCAAACGGCGGTGTTCGTACGGCGTTCGGACCGGGAGGTGCTGGACCTAAAAATTTCTCTCTCTCTCTCTCTATATATATATATATATATATATATATATAGTAAGGATCAAATTAGAATATTTCTTAACGTGAGAAATGAGAATGACTCTGGAGCTTTGGATTTTGGCATTGTGCATCAAGTAAAACAGAAATGTGCATATAAAAAATTGGAAATTGTGCATTTCAAGTGTGCAAAAGTTTACACGTAAACATGCAAATTAGAATTTTGCATTACTTTAACTAAAAATGTGCATTTTCGTGAATGATAAAGTGCATCGTTTTGGAGCGTTCTCATTTCTCACATTAAAAAGTGTTCTCACCGGAACCCCTCTTAAAATGAGAACCCAAATTTGAGGTGGTTCCCGGTGGTATTTTTGGCTGAATTTTTTTGTGTATGTTCCTCATCAAGTCTAGTTCATCCATACCAAATTTGAGCAAAAAATTCAATCGGGAAGGTCGTCAAATGATTTTTCAAAGAAAACTGGTCCGGAATACATTTCGACTTGCCTCAAAATACATTTCTATCATTTACCTTCGTCTTGTCTCAATTTACAATTCCATTAACGCCATTTACATTTTGACTCATCTTAAGTTACATTTCAATCAACGTGATATACATTTTGACTTGTCTCGGCAAATTATATTTTGCATATGCACGATTTATTTTCGATTTGTCTGAAGTTGCATTTTGGATCCACGCGATTTGCATTGCATACAAGTGAGATTAAATTTGACGCTAAGTGAGATTACTTTTGTAGCAATGCAAGTTACATTTCAGTGTCAAGATTCACATCACGAAAAATACCGAGATGAAAACATATTTATTGTTCACTTGTGTTTTCAATTAAAATTTAAACTTAAATGATCTTGTTTTAATTGTGGGAGTATGATGTTGACTTCAGTCGCACCCACAATATAACAACTGCGGTAATGTTTTTCTTCTACTAAATTTGCCCCACCTTAAAATTTCATAATATATGTAGAAACAAGGAGAGGATGTTCTAAAATGTAGAAACTTAGAGCGTTGAGTCACTCCTGTAGAGTTATACTTTTTAAATAGTTTTTTCAAACTTTAAAAGCTTAAGTTTGAAAAATTCAATAAGGGTGAATGGAGGTATTGCGAGTTTATTTGTGGCATCGAGTAAAAAACTACGTATGGTAGTATTTTTTAATTATAAACTAAAATAGTTTAGGCCAATGAAGTCAAATGGTGTTGAACCATTAAAATTTAGATCTTAGGTTTATTATGTCTAATGATGACGGCACTAAAGTCGTTGTATGTCTCAAAATAAAATAAATACCAACACGTATACGTAATATCGTGAAGTAGAGATCGTATCCACATGGAAATGAACTCTTTTCTTTTATTAAACTAGTAATTAAAAGGGGGATTTTGGGATTTTTTTATTTTAATTAATTAAACACTAAGATGAACGACTTATATGATTTTAATTAATGAGAAAAAAAGACTTGACTTTACCACTTTCCACTTGTTGATATGTTTATTGATCCCGGTTATATCTATAGATTATCCCCTATCGAATACTCAATCGAGGAATATCCCCAATGCATCGAGGTAGTTATTAATAACTATCGTTCATTATTAACGTACTTTTACTATTAGCCAAGTATAGAACACTGCTATATACCGACGTGATAATATCATTTAATCTCTTAACTTCTTGATGAAATAAATTGAGATTGATAACATCAACACAACGGTTTCAGCTTAACCAGCACAATTCCCGCTTAAGATTATTAACCACGACCATGCATTAATAACCCAAAGTTACTTACTTGTGAAACCATCAATGATTAACTATCGGTTCATTGATTGTTTCTAGTAGTAATTAATGGAAAGATGTTAACTAATTGTCATTTAGCAACACTCCTCAACATTAATATAGAGATAGAATAAGGGAAAAATTAATATTCAAGGGAAGAAGTAAGAAAATAACTCACAATCTTAACATTCAACAAGCTTCAAGAGCAAAACCAAAA